TGAACCTCTCTGGTCCGGCGCCCTCGGGACCCGACCGGTGCCAAACCAGAGAGCTTGCCAAACCACGGGAGGGCAGTATGGCCTAGCAGCGATCCCAACACTGCTGCGGCTTGCTGGGCTCCGAGAAGACATTGAGGGGCAAAGCAGAGCTAAACACCAGCCCAGAACCTGGAGAGCCAGGCCTGGGGGCTGTAAACGAACCTTCCTCTCTGGTCCGGCGCCCTCGGGACCCGACCGGTGCCAAACCAGAGAGCTTGCCAAACCACGGGAGGGCAGTATGGCCTAGCAGCGATCCCAACACTGCTGCGGCTTGCTGGGCTCCGAGAAGACATTGAGGGGCAAAGCAGAGCTAAACACCAGCCCAGAACCTGGAGAGCCAGGCCTGGGGGCTGTAAACGAACCTTACGGGACGACAGGAAACTCGGCCACCCCCATGCTAAGAGGACACCTGGCAAACTAAAATCCTGCCGGATCACGGACCAGAGTGCCGGGCTAGAGAGGCTCAGCCTGTATAAGGCAGGTTTTCTAACCCTTCAGTCATTTCCGTAGCTCTTCTCTGACCCCCTCCATCTCACCAACACCCGTCCGGAACAGAGGGCCCAGAACCAGACACAGCACGGCAGCAGCGGTCACGCCAGCGCCAAAGAGAGAGGTACAGTAGTCCCACTCATTCCAAAGAGCAGTCACTCTTTGGCCACAGCGCCCCACCCTGTCTGCAGCTGGGTGAAATGCCGGGTACCCTCCTCTCCCCAGCACTTGAGCAAGGAGCTACAGAGCCCCAGGGGAAAGGGGTGGGGAATAAACAACCTACAAAGGGGGGCGGTGAGGCAGGGACTAGCAACAAGGTGCTGGCAGTTGGCCCCACAACATACACCCTGGAGATGCGGCCTGACGTCGCGGCACAGAGACATGTGCACACGCCCTTGGTACAGGCAGGCACTGGTGACTCACCCACCACCAGGCCACTGCCAAGCTGTGTGTGCTGATTCCTGGCAGCTTCCTGCCAGCCGTGAAAACCACAGCCTCCAGCTCAGCCCAGCACTCGCAGCCCAGACAGGAGCACAGCCCGGACGGGTTCTACCGGATCGGCCAGGTGGCCCGGGCCCCCAGCCAGCTAGGGACTGCCAGCAAGAACCCGCCCCTCCACTAGAGCGGGTGCCCCTCCAGCAGGGATCTCAGACGTGCGGGGGGGGTGGTTAGAAAAGCCACAGGAAGGAAGCCCCCTTACTGAACAGCTGGAGGGAGAGGGCAGCTCCCAAGTCGGAGTCACCTGCCCAAATGCTGCCTCTCCCTCCGACTCCCACAACCCACTCCACATAGACACCCCGCAGGGACCGTTCCTTCACCGGGTCTGAGCTTCTCACCCGCACTCCTGGGGGTCAGCCCTGTGCTGGGATGTGGCACAGAAACCCCTGCTCAGGGAAGGTCAGAGTCGCTCACGGTGCAGGGAGGGGGAGCGCAAGCCTCCCATGGAGATGGGAGTGGTCAAAGCAGGGATTAGATTTGCTCTGTTCACTTGTGATGTTGCATGTGGTCTCTACTGAAATGCAGCAACCCTGCACGTGTGCCTCAGTTTCCCTGGGCACTGCACCAGTCGCGAGATGGGGATGGGCATTTGGGGGTGACAGCCTCCCGCCCGGACACCATGGCGGATGCTTTGTCACCTGAACCTGGGAGGGGTGTGACCAGGTGGCACCTTCTGCCCGGGAAGCTGGATAGAGGCTGGGGTCAGGGCTGGCTGCATTGGGAGATGGGCTGCTGGGGGTGTGTGAGAGGGGGCAGGGTCCTGGCTCTGGGCCCCTCTTCCCAAGATGGACAGTGCTGGCTGCTTCTGGTTCCTGTGAGGAGCAGCCTGTTCTACGCCGTGTCCTAAGGGCTAATAAACCTTCCGTTCCAGCTCTACTTGGCACAGAGACCTCAGCTGGCACTACCGTGCGCCTCTGAGCACCGCACGGGAGGGAAGATGTGGGCAAACTGAAGAGGGTCCAGACGAGCGCAATTAAATGCTAAAAGCTTTAGGTGACCCAGCCTATGAGAAAGGACGACTGAGAGGAGACCTAATTACTGGCTTCAAGTATGTTAACTGTCCCCAAAACAGGGGTGAGGAGCCTTTTTTCTGGGACTGGGTGGAGGGGGGGCACTGACCCACAGAAAAATCAATCGGAGGCCACACACAAGTGAGAAGCAAGGAAAAAGCCACCTAACCCTCATTGACATGGCCCTCAACTGAGGAGAAAGGCACGCCCCACATTCCCCGGGCACACCAGAGCCGGGGGGGCCCAGCTTACTAGATCTTGTGCGCTCCAGCCCCGCGGTGGGGCAGTGGGGCGGGGGCTAGAGCACCAACATGGGATCCCCATTGCTAAGGGGGGCCCTGAGTCTCGGGGGCCAGATCCAGGCAAACTAGGGGCCACATCCAGCTCTCGGGCCTTAGGTTCCCCACCCCTGCCCGAAAAGGAGGCGATCAATTGTTCTGCATGCCCACTGATGGCAGGACAAGAAGCAATGGGGCTTCAATTTGCAACAAGGGTTAGATATTAGGAAAAGCCACCCAACAGTAAGGGCGAGCTTCCAAAGCGCCCGGAGAGCCCCACCTCCTCTCCTACTGACTGAGACACTCTTGTAGTGTAAAACTGAACACTCCTGGGGTCAGAGCCCCCCCTCTCCTCCCTGGTACTTCTCGAGTTCCACCACGAGCCACGGGGCCTTCTGCCAACTTCAATTCCACCAACCGGTTCCACTGAATTGTTCCAGCCTCAACTGCTGCCCAGAGCAGTGCTGCCAACTGGGGCTGGTTTGGTGTGATTCTTGCAATGTTTGTCCGTCTAATTGAGCCCCAGCTCCAGGAGCGATGACAGAGGTCGGCAGGTACCTAGCTCTCCTCGTCGCAGTGGAAACGTGACATGGGAGCGACCCAAAGGCTCAGAACCAGCGGCCAAAGCAAGCAAGTGCTAACCGTACCATTTTTAAAGGGCTTGTGATTTTGTTAAGCCGATCTCATGCTACCTAAGACCTGGCTAATGGTCTGTGAATGCATGGGGCTTGCAGTACGGCTGCCTTGCTATGGGGTGCTGACGCGATTCTTATAAAACAACGAATAGTCCAGCAGTTAGTCTTTAGGGAGCTAACTCGACTACCCTCTGGAGATTCTGATATGCCACTTTGCATACCCAGGGGTCCCAAATCTTTCCCATGTGCTACAAGAGCGTTGCCATTAACCACACAGCGTTGGCCTCACTGGTGCACATCTATGACAACAATCGACACTGGGGTATCAAACCCGTGGGTCACCTGGCATGCACGTCTATGACAACAATCGACACTGGGGTATCAAACCCATGGGTCACCTGGCATATGGAAATACTGGAGAGACTCACGGGACAGGCAGATCCTGCAGCGTCTCAGCTTTCACTTAAGACTCAGAGGGGTACCCGGTGTAGCCAATGCAGGACTGTGTCCAGTACACGGGTGTGAACGCTAATGCCTGGAGGGGACCTACTGCATGCCCACGTTAATTAGTGCTTTGCTGATCACCTTAGGGGAGAAGGGGGTGGGAGTGAAACCCAGGGGAGAAGGGCGGGGTGGGAACTGGGAGCTGCTGCAGGAAAGCAAGCGCAGTGAGACTCAGGCAGGAGGAGGGACGAGGCAAAGGAGAGCACAGGAACAGCCTCCCTGGCCCAGATGGAGTAAGCAGTAAGGTGCTGAGCAGAGAGATGCTGAGAAGGTTTATTTCCTACATAGTGTCTCTGCAGACCCCAGGAGCGCTGCTGGAGACTGCAGGGAGTACAGGGCCCCATTCACACCCCAGCCCATGAGCTGTATCTAAACGTGGAACTCTTCCCTCCCCCGGAGCCATCTGACACCCCTGCTATGCACAACGAACAGAGCAAGCCCCCCTCCTTCCCAGGAATGCTCAGGCCTCGCTAGCAACCCAGGGGCAGGCCAGCGTCACGGTCCACGCCCATTTCGAGGGGGCGGCTCACGACTGGGCCAGCCTGCTTGGGGGGCCAAGCCCTCCAGGCGGCTGCAGGAACTCCCGTGCCAGTCTCCCACGTGAGCGCGGCAGGCATGCAGGTCCAGCGCCGGCGAGCGTGGTTTGGATTCTACCCCAGGCACATGCTGTCCCTAGTGCCAACCCCTGGGGACGGGGACATGCTGTTCCAGTCCGGTCACACTGCTCAGCCCTGGGAACCCTTGACAGGCAGCTCCCATGGCAGGGGAGTCTTGCGTGAGGGGGCAGGGACACCAGCAGGGCATTAGCTTGGTTCCTCTCCTCCCACCCAAACAAGGCTCTGTGCACACAGCTAAATCGGGACCAGAAATACTGAAGACCCAGTGCTGGAAGCAATTAGCAGTGGCCCTCACCCGACACCAGGGAGAGGCAGCCCTGGGACAA